TGTCAGATTGGACAATCCATAGCTTGGAATCTTCTGCCAGCCACACTGTTTTGCAACTCTATGACAATCACGTCGATTTTACCATTGCTGCAGATTCTTGAGCTCACAGGAGATAGCGCCTTCACTATGATATACAATAGAGACCATCCACGTGAATGCTGTGGCGCCATGGATGTCCATGGATGTGTCCTCTGCGCATCATTTCACAGTCGCTTTTCCATCGTTCAAACCCTAAACCCCTTTAACCCTACCCCCATACGTTAAATAAGGTTAAACGTAGTTGAACATTCAACGTGCATCTCGTAAGCTCAAAGTGGCTCGCTCGGTGCAGTCACTTCGGGATTCGGTCGATTCAATAAACCTATAAAACCTAAATTTGAATATAGGTTTAATATGTCTGATTGGTTAAATGGGAGAACAGGGTTGCCCACCGCTCATTCATTCTTTGATTAGTCGACCGAGAGATGAGCTTGTTGCGCGCGTTGGCGAAAGCTCCGTTGCTTCGTCCACAAGGACACCAAGTCCGCCGTCTCAACTTGCATGAATACCAATCCATGAAGATCATGCAATCTTACGGCGTCGCAGTCCCTGCTTCGCAACACGCTAACACCCCAGAAGAAGCTGAAGCCGTGTACAACAAGCTCAAGGGCGGCAACGACTCGAAGGACGTCGTGATCAAAGCTCAAGCTTTGACCGGTGGTCGTGGTTTGGGCCATTTTAAGAATGGATTCAAGGGCGGTGTCCACATGTGCACCAAGGCCGAAGATGCCAAGAACTATGCCAAAAAGATGATTGGCGAAACCTTGGTCACCAAGCAAACTGGTGAACGCGGTATTGAAGTCGCCAAGGTGTTCTTGATGGAACGCGTGTACATGCGCCGTGAAATGTATTTCAGCATCTTGATGGACCGCGCTTCGCAAGGCCCAGTCATGGTCGCCTCCCCGGCCGGTGGTACCTCGATTGAAGATGTGGCTCACGCCACACCTGAACTCATCTTCAAGGAGTACATTGATATCACCAAGGGTCCTTCGAACGAGCAGTTGACCCGTTTGGCTTCCCAAATGGGCCTTGAAGGTGCTTCGCTCGAACGTGGTGTTGAATTGCTTGGCAACTTGTACAAGATGTTCATTGGTGTCGATGCCACCTTGGTCGAAATCAACCCTCTTGCCGAAACCCCTGATGGCAAGGTGTTTGCTTGCGATGCTAAGATCAACTTCGACGACAACGCTTCGTTCCGTCAAAAGGACATCTTCGCCCAACGCGACAAGACCCAAGAAGATCCTCGTGAAGTCGAAGCCTCCGCCTACGACCTCAACTACATTGGTTTGGATGGTAACATTGGCTGCCTCGTGAACGGTGCCGGTTTGGCCATGGCTACCATGGATATCATTCAACTCTTCGGCGGTTCGCCTGCCAACTTTTTGGATGTCGGTGGTGGTGCTACTGAATCTCAAGTTAAGAAGGCTTTTGAAATCCTCAACGCCGACAACCAAGTCAAGTCCATTTTGGTCAACATCTTCGGTGGTATCATGCGCTGCGATGTTATTGCCGCTGGTATTATTGCCGCGGCCAAGGATCTCGGTATGAAGAAGCCCATCGTGATTCGATTGCAAGGCACGAACGTCGAAAAGGCCCGCGCTTTGATCGAAAACTCTGGATTCCGCATGATTGTCGCCAATGACTTGGACGATGCCGCCCAAAAGGCCGTCAAAATTGCCGACATTGTCACCCAAGCCGAAGCTGTCCATGTGAATGTTAGCTTTGAATTGCCTCTGTAAGTGAAAAAAACTTTCTTCTTGGTTCTCATGCTTTTGATAGTGAACAAAACTAAAAAAGAAACATTTAAGAACAATTTAAGAAAGCTTAAAGTTTCTTAAAAGGCATTTTTAAAATAGGCTTATCAAATCAACTGCGCCACAAGAACGACAATGCCCAACGAACCGACGACCAAGACCAAATAAGCCCATGAGCCGTGGCTGACTGTCGTGGTAAAGCACGTTGGTTGAGGGTCACAAGCCTTCGAACGCAGCTGAAGAAGAGCAGGAGCAATAAAGACAAGATAGACGCCAAACACACCAGTGAGATGGACAATGAAGCTTAAGTCTGGAACTGCGTAGCCAAGGAAGATGGGAGGAACCGACGCTGCGAGGCGGCAGACCAGCTTGCGGAACCCCGAAGCGTCCATCATGGAGTTACCAACGTTGATTGCAATGAGAGGAAACGTTGACAGCGTGTCTGCTGCTGGAAAGAGGACAATATAAAGGTTGTCAATACAGACGACATCCATGGAAAGCCAGTCGCCCAATTGAGATTGACAGACGAGTTCACATTTGAGCCGAAGTGTACAGCCGACAGCACGCCCAAGCAAACGTAGATAAACGTCGTGGTCGTCATGGCAGCACCAAAGACAGCGGGCAGGGAAGCTTTGTGGTGAGAGGCGAGAGGGGCAATGAGACCAGGGACGCAGAAATGACAGAACTGAGCAAAGAGGACCGTGCTGGTGAGCAATCCAACGCCATTTCCATCGACCAAGGGCATTGGACTCTTCTGTGGGGATGCAATCAACAAGCTACCACACATGATCGACACTGCAACAAAGCGAACCATTGTAAGAAAGAGCTGGACTCCAATTTGTTCCGTCAGATCAAGACACGAGAGCGGTACAACAATGACACCATAGAGAAAGGCGCTGTGGACGGTCGAAAGTGCTGGGAACTGAGCGACAAGAGCTTGAATAAACACTTGGGAATACGCGACGAGGATAGCATATCCATACGAGTAGAGGCAAAAGTGGTACAGCCGTTCACCCCACACACCAAGGTACAGAATAGAGGTCTTTCGAAAGTATGTTGAGTTTGACTTCGAAATTGGACATATTGTTTAGAGAAATATGATTGGTTGATTTGATTTTGCCAAACTCTGGAGTTGTTTGTCGTTGACTCAAATGGTCGTGAGTCTCAAGCTCATCTCGAGTTTGGGGAGTTTAAATGATTGGCTAGGGAATCACTCGACCAGCAGCAGGTTGGAGTAACACACAGACTTAAAAGACGTCAATGGCCCTTCTTTTGCCAAAGTTGACGATCGACCAAGCCACCGCTCTCATGGTTCTCCTCGTCCAATGTTGATGTGTATCGTCCAAATAATGATGTATTATCAATTACTTGATGTCTCCTCCTCGGGCAATTCGCATGATGTTCAACAAGAATTCTTGGTTCATCTTGTCGCGAGCAATATCCCTTTCATGCTGCTTTTGTTCACGTTCTTCTTCTCTGCGTTGTCTCTTGTCTTCTCGTTCATCGTCTTGCTCAAGTCGATTTTTCAAAAACGTTGTAAAAGCAGTGATTGTTGGGTCCTCGCTAGCCATGTCATTGACAGAGTTTGAGATGATGTCGAAAATACCTTCTACTCTCCCACGTTTGGATGGCGTATTCTTGCGGTCTCCACAATCGTCGCTTGAAGATAGAGATTCCATTACCAGTTGACGCATAAGAGTTCCAGACTTCTTGATTGCATCCTTTTTAGCCATACCAGCTGCGTTCCCTCGTCCCTTTCGCTTTTATAGTCACTTATTTGAGATATTATATCTTCAAGAAGTTGTTCACACTCACCAAACTCCTCGTCTGTTCCCCTACGTCTCATAGCAGCGAGTGAACCTGCAGCATAAGCTTTGACAAGTTTGTCAAACCGCGTCTTGAATTCTGGGCCGTCTTTTACCACACGAAAGCGACGGTTTTCACTGAGATCTACGGCCAGTTCGGCCCAACATTGCATGATCTGGCCATTGCCAGCTCGCCAAGGTTTTGTCTCGTTGACAGCCTTCAGCAAAACGTTGTCATCGGTGCAACCAAAGGACTTCTTCATGCTGCCAGCATAAGCGCCGGGTTCCTCGTACAGCTCTTGCAACAGCTCTTCGTTGGGCCCAACACTTCCATCAAGCTCTACTTGGCTTCCTTCGTCGCCAGGGTCCTTGCTTCTTTGCATATCAGACGCCGTTGAACACAATCAAACACTGCAACCATGACTTGCATTAGTTAACGCTCACTCTAATTCAAATTGGTTGGTCTTCGAAACGCGTGAAAATTTTTATTTGACTTTCGTCTCTTGTGACATGACTTGACACTCAAACTCTAACTCAAAGGAATTCCGAAAGAGCTCTAATGTAAGCGGCAGTGGTACTAGTGAAAAGACATTTTTCGCATCGGTTATAGGTTGGATTTCTCAAAAATGCTGTCCAATCATAAGCATGCAACTTCATTGAGAATTAAATTTTCCAGAGTATTTTTTTAAAAGATGAAATCAAGTTGCTTTCTTTCAAATCAAGCACAATTTCTAGAAGTAAATCATTTGTAAGGGCGGGTCTGGATGCCCATCAATTTTTTTATTCCATATAACTGAAATGACATTTTGCAAAATTTTCCAAAGTTCCAAATTCACAATTTAAAATGGAATAGTTGGAGAATTTGTTATGTCTGGATGCCACAACTTGAGGCCAACAAGAAACTTCAACATTACCGGTACAGACGATTGTTGTCATACTGCTGTGTCAGTCTCTTCCTACCGGAAACTTTGAAATGAGCCAGAGATGAGCAAGGCTCGATCACTGTCGCTTCTCAGAGTGTTAGAACATGCAACAGTGATAATATATAGTGTGTGCGTGTATTTTTGTAGAGATGACAAGCTGAATCTCAAGCTTGACTCGATCAGTGCGTTCATGACGAAAATATGTCATAATAAAATAGACCAATTTGGTCCATTTTTTTTATGGCATAATTTGGCCAAAACTCCAGAAAATTGTGACAAAAAATTCTTTGAGAAGGTGGCATCCAGACAGTCAAAATTGAAAATTATGGCATATTTCGAATTATGGCATTTTTGGCATTTTTATGCCATTTTTGGTGGCATCCAGACCCGCCCTAAGAGATAAAATATCATCCAATTGCATGAGTAGAAAAATGGTTTATTTGACAGATACTAACTTCCAAAGAACCAAACATCGGCTTGACCGGTAGCTCAGTTGGTAGAGCGACGGCATCACAGCGATAGAGGAAGGGGCCCGGGTTCAAGCCCGGGCACGGAATGATCTCCTTACGGCCAGTATTGCCGATCTTTCTGCGTTTCTTGCATCCTGTGTAAGACATTATCTTTTCAGGGTGTGCAACCCAGTTTTGAAGCGTTTTTCGTCGAATTCCCATCGATTCGGCGACAGAGTTTTGGGACTCACCGGCTTGAACGCGCTTGATGGCGGCGATTTTGGCATGCACTTGGTGCTGTTGTCGGCATGGCATGTTTAATTTTAAAAGAAAGACCTATTTTATTTCACTTCAAAATTAAAAAAATCCCGCGAAACCATTTGGACCAATAGAGATTCTTCATTGAGTCTAATTGGTTGAAATAGGGTTGTTTGTCTTTGAGTACCACTGCCGCTTACATTCTGTCGCTCCCTGTACATGCGACAGAGCGCGACCACTTCGACAGATGATTCCGCATCGCCAATCAAGCATTGTTGGTCCGCAGTTTGCTTGCGTTCAAGCGTCTCACAGGTCCAGAGTACGGTCAAATACGAGAGGAACGATCCCATGATGACCATGAAAAGCCCGAGGATGAGACCCGCGTGGTACACTGCATACGGAATTCCCAAGCAGCCAACGCCAAGGATCGTGTTCAGGATGTACGAATAGCACTCAAGCGGAGTATACGCATTGGAATCCCTTGGGCTTTGAAGTGCAACACGGAAGTCCATCTCTGTAGCACGCGTCCACTTGGCAATTGACGTTCCGTGTTGGTTTCATTTGCACGATCTTGAAGAGAACCATAGAAAACCTCCGCACACCCATATCTATCATTAATTCCATTAATGGGTGGTTCCTGAAAACACAATTTGTGTCGTACACATTTCCAAAAATATAAATCATTCAGCAAGATTTAATTGTCCCTTGTGATAGGTAAAAAAAATATTGTGCACCACATCATTGTAGTCGTCGTCGCCTAGTGAGCTTTGTCGTCAGTCATATGATTGACTTCACCGTGTTTTCGAACTCCTCGGCATTTCCTTTTGGAACACAATGCAGTCAAGCATGACATAACATGGCTCATCCATGCAGAGCAACGAGATATCGAAGATGATAACTGTTGTGGTGGAGCTTGGCCCAAAGGAGGTGTTCCGACGGAAGGATGGTTGACAAATGTGTATTTGAGATTTGCGATTTTGTATTATTTTAGAATAAAAGTTCAGAAATGTGTGTCTTTTTTGCACAAAATGTGTTTTCAGGAACCACCCAATAATTAATAACTTTTATCAACAAATACTACACCATTTGCCGGTTTAGTTCGTTGAACTTGCGATATATTTCGTATCATTTGCAATATATTTCGTATCAGTGCAATATATTTCGTATGACTTGCATTTAATTTCGTGGTCAGCGACATAAATCGATTTATATTTCGCATGACTTCCATTATATTTCATACCTCTTGCATTTAATTTCATATTTTTTTGCTTATATTTCGTATCACGTGCATTTAAATTCGTAGTAATGCAAATATATTCAACGTCCTATTGAGATATGAAGTTTCACATGTGTTGCAGTGTTGGCTTGAGCTATGAATTTGCGACGGGCAAGCGCATATGAACTCTGCCGAGCTTGATTGATGCTCGCATTGACTTATATGGTGATTGAAGTGTCCCATCAATTTCTTATGAGGTCGATAACAATTTTTTGTCAATTTTTCTATGTACTTTTTCTCTTTTCTGCGAATTTAAATGCACGTGATACGAAATATAAGCTAAAAAATACGAAATTAAACGCAAGAGGTATGAAATATAATGCAAGTCATGCGAAATATAAATCGATTTTCGTCGCCGACCACGAAATTAAATGCAAGTCATGCGAAATATATTGCACTGGTACGAAATATATTGCACTGGTACGAAATATATTGCAAATGATACGAAATATATCGCAAGTTAAACGAACTAAACCGGCAAATGGTGTAGATAGTCGTGTAACACGAAATTTTTGACAATCATTCTGTATAAAAACACGTTTAAACACGTTTTACTCTGACTTGAAAAATGTACAGTAAAAACCCGAGATAGTCACATCAATTTCAGAGTATAGTTTATAAATTTGTAAAGGTATAAGACTATAAGGTTACGTCATGTTATCATTCATGTCATTAAACCTGGCAAATTTAAAGCTCAATTGCATTGATCGAGTTATCCAATTCATACAGTTCTTCATCGAGGATTGCTGTATGGCGCCAACAATTCGAAATTGTTGACTCAGTGACCTCTTGCCACGCCATTGCTCTTCTTTGATCTTGAGCTTGTCGGCGAGACTGATACGTTGGTGAGATTCAAAGTTAGCGTTGCCACCACTTATTCTTTCACCTTTCAAATTTTATTGGATATAAAGTATCAATTTATATAAAGTATAAAATTAGAAAGGTGTGACTAACCGGTTTTTTTACTGTATAACGTTACAGAAAAAAGGTTTTGTTCGCAAGTCCGCACCATGGGGTTGCGGAGAACCGCGAAACCCCTTCGACGAGACTTTCACTGTGGAGAGTGATGGTAAAAATTTTGTGTTTCGTAAATATGAGAATGTTTGTAACATATCTTGACAAAGTACAACCAAAAATAGGAATGATGATCAAAATTTCGTAAACCACCATATATCATAATGCAACTTTCGTAGGAAAATATTGCTGTCGTATGGCAAAAAGTAGAAGGATATTTTCTACATTTTCTGTTTCACCTTTTTGAATTTGAGTAGATTCAATAATAAAACCAAGTCAAAAATTTTGTCTGAAATTTTATCGAAATCGTAGAATCAAATCTTCTACCAGTCATATTGATCTCTAATTGGTCAAAATTTCCGATTTTGCTCCTGGTCATCAAGGCTTGATGATCAAGCCCATCATCAAGCACGACAGGGCAACAAGTTCATAGTTGAATAGAGTAATACAAAGCTAACAAATTACCCTCAACACATACTTGATTGTCATTCTTTTTTGTGGTGTATACGATGTGTTAAACTCTTAAAATCATATTGCAACTTGGCGTGTAACGCTGGAGTTTACAATAGTTCATTTAAGCCAATTGCGATTAAATCATGGAAACAGTATTGTGAGTCGTGGTTACATGTACTTTAGCTACATTTTGGTGTTTCTGCGTCATTTAACTGCAAACATAATAACATGTAACTTTGAAATCTGTTAAACGCTTCCACTGGATCAGTTGCATTGCATTGCAAGCATACATCAAAACGAGGTAATTGAGTCCTAGCCTCACCAATGGCATGCTAAGTATATGTTAATTTATTGCTGTAGTTCCTGCTAAACGCAAGCAAAGATCATTGCAATTATATGTATTCACTTAGGACAGATTTTAATCCGCAGCAGTAGTCCATAAGTTTGTTTCAATGCTTGCCGCATCATATACTGTAGGCGCTTTTTTCTAAGTGTGAATCGGTGGCATGCATCATCGATGATGTGATGGTCTAACAGCATCTTCTAAATCACCCTTTATTTAATCTTAATTAGTACAGTAGTGAGAGAAATTCGATGGGCAGGCAACACAGTGCGTTTAGAAGCTGACATCACAGAAAAATCTGTTGATTTTAAGCCAATCAAGTTAGAGTAAAAACAGTACGCAAATCCTTTCTACGATTTCCGGATACAACACATTAGATATACTCTCTAACAGCGTATATTTACTCTCAATATCGATAATGTGAAACTTAATAATAATTGATATATTATACATTTAATGAACTCTATAAATCAATGTTGATTTTCAAAATGCCGCGACTTCGCGTTGGTCATGAAGTCACGATCAAGACAGACCGCGCCAAGATCATTAAGGTCTTGCCAGAAGCTGTGCTTCTTCATATGCATGCAACAGCTAGGACTCAATGGGCGTTCCCACATGATGTAACCATCGTCGAGCCTTCAATCGATTGGAATCCGCAAGCTTTTCCATCACAGTTGCGATTCTTTCAGGTCCAAGGAAGCCCAACGAGCAATGAAAACCTTGTACTATTCCTCCATGGACTTGGAGATGCACACGCATCATTGTTCACACTTGGCCAAGCCATGCAATTACCACAGACAGGTAGAATATCTTACGCAATCGCCGAATGAGCTCATGCGTTCCCGACATAGCCTTTGCGTCCTTTCGAGCTCCACATTCATTGCCATTTGACTTGGGATACACATGGATCGAGCCTGCTTTAAATGAACATGGAGACGTCATTCCTCATAGCACAGACAATCCAAAGCGCCTGGAGAGGTTTGTCGTCCCTGTCCTTCGAGAGCGCTCATGCAATCTTTCACTAGCTTGAGCGATATTGTGGATCAGTGGATGGAAGCTTTGCGAGTCCTCCAAGAAGTGTACAATTGGCCTCCTCAGCGTATCTTTCTCATGGGTTTTGGACATGGTGGTTCGGTTGCCTTGCATGTAGCTACCCAATGTCCCAGTCGTTTAGGCGGTGCGATTACTTTGTCAGCCAGAGTTGTGTTTCACAGACGTCTTGTAGGTGCTGTGAGCATTTCAGGGGCTCTCTTTGACATATCGACCACAGTTGACACGCAGCAGAAGACACCAATTCTCATCCTCCATAGTGTCAAGGACCCATTGATTCCACAAGCCATGTTCGCTAAGACCAAACGTACACTCGGTGAGAACGTCACAACCAAAAGCATGCCATACTACCCCATTCGCCTCTCCAATAAGGTTTCTCTTCCTTTTTAGTGCCACCATGATGATGGAACTTGAGTAGGAGGAAATGTCAGCCGTCATGAAGTTCTTTGACGAGACGCTGTACCTTCGCAATCTTGCTTTAGAGGCCCAAGCTGACGTTGTGGAGATGTAATTTTACAAAACTGACTTTGTCCACGCACTTGCTATGAAACTTTCAAAGTAACCAAATTCTGAAGCCGCGAGAATGAAAACAACGCCAGCGCTTGACTCACGATATCATGGCCAAGACCCTGTAAGATCCAAGATGAATGACAACGTTGAATGGATATGAGTACAAAAGCAAACGGCTAGTTTTGTCTCCAGAGGGCGACACGTC